AATCTTTTTTACCGTTATTCCTTCCGTTGTGGGATTTTCTGTCTCATACAGCTACCGTGCACAGGTTCAGTGGGTTCCTCGTCAAACTATTTAAAAAGTATAAGAGAAATTGGGATATATGTGTAATTATCTAAGAATATTTAAAAGCCAGATGATAGAAAAGAATTATTTTCTTTTTCCTTGTCAATTTTTAATTGATTTTTTTTCATTCTTACAAAGCATAAATGGCGGAAGTGCCATATTTTAACAATGAATGAAGAATAATAAAGTATATATATACTCATCCATAGTTTTTCAAAAAACCAGAAATTAAACTAGAAATTTAGATAATGTAAAAAAAGTTTTTTTTGCTGAAATTAAATTTGAAGAAAAGTGTTTTCCTTTTCTGTCTTTCCAGGCAAACAGGAAGGCAAAAGTGCCATAAGGAGTTTTCGTTACTGTGTCGGACATATGTCGGACATTTTATTTTTGAATAAATTCGTCAGAAAATAGAAGTTAACTTGGTTAACCTTTTTCAGAAGGTAGGTAAAGTGTATAAATATATATATTTATACTTAACATTTTTTTTCCCGAAATGGAAGGAAACAAATCATTTTTTTCGCAAGAAACTATGTTGCGTGAGGATTATTCTTACCATTTTCCTCAAGCTATTTAGCCACAATTCACTCCTCAGGTTTGAGATAGTTTGAAATGTTTAGGCAGTAGGAATAAGTTGAAAAAAGGATAGATAGGAATAAGTACTGCAATAGGAAGTCTTAAAATAAAATATTGGCAAGTATTAGCGAAAGTCAGCAAAAATAGGAAATATTTTGCTTTAGGAGTTTTAATACTGGCGATTTTTGGCAAAAGTCAGCAAAAATAGGAAATATTTTTATTTTTAGGAGTTGTAAATTGATTGACAAAATGACAAATATTGGCATAAGTCAGCAAAAATAGGAAATATTTTTTTTTAGGAGTTTTAAATGGAAAAAATATGTTTAATTGCTGGAATTTTATTGAATTATAAAATATTTATTTTAGGATTTTTACAAGGAATAAATAAATACTGACATATGTTAACACAAGTCAGCAAAAATAGGAAATATTTTTATTTTAGGAGTTGTAGAATGTAGATTGCTTGAAAAATGACAAATATTGGCATAATTGTCAGCAAAAATAGGAAATATTTTTTTTAGGAGTTTAAAAATGGAAAAAATAATTTTAGATGTCGGAAAAGGTTAAAAGGTGAAAAAGAATTGGATGAATAAAAGGTTAAGTTGAAAAAAGAAAATTTAGTTGAAAAATTGCAAGGATAGTAGGATAGGAGTAGGATTAGGATAAGGATTTGGATTAGGATTACGACAAGGGATTGGTAGGTGAAAAAGGTGAGGAAATTATCAAACGTTGATAATCAAAACGTCGAATAACAAAACATAGAAGATACAAAATGTTGACTGCTACAAAATATTGATTAACGGAATGTTGACTATGCTACAAATTGTCGAAATTACAAAATGTTGAATGCATCAAAACGTCAACAGTTACAAAATGTTAGATTATCATGGGTAAGGTTAAGACAATTTCTGGGCCAAGCGCTGCGGCAAAGATGTCTAGAGGGCCGAGCGCTGGGACCTCTTCAAAGTCGAATAATGTGCTGTACGTTTCACACTATTTTGGGCTAGGTTAGGTTAAGACAATTTCATGGGCCTAGTGCTGGGGCCCCAAACGTTCAATAATGTGCTATAGTTTAACGGAATTACAACAGCAGGTTAGAAGAGTAATATAGAGGATATGCGTAGGTCATGCCCAAACAATATACCATCGATTAGTTGATTGAATTGCTACAACAAAGACGATATCTTCTAAGTTTGAACAACCCTACCATGGATGAAATAGTGTACACTTTAAGCAGAAATTCAGCTACGGGCATTTTGAAAAAAAATTTACCCTCGTAAGATTGCAAGAAACCTCTACAGTATATTTTATCAGGAAATATTTGTTATTTATCAAACCAAAATGTCTGTTATGTACCCTGATGGATACCGAGAAACGGAAGGTAAGGAGGAGCCACGTTACTTACACATGTTTAAAAAGAACACAACACGGATAGGATGAAATATATTTTGAATATTTATATTTAGGATTAGAAGTCCTACTCGAGAGATTAAAGGAGATGGTAAACTTTACAAGTTTATTTAACGTAAGATTAATTCCTGGCGACGGGGCTGGGGACAGAGATGTTAGTACAAGTAGCTTACTCTTAGCTGCAGGTACAAATTAGACTGGTAACCGCCATAAAAGTTTTGGAATTAAAGTCCTACCATTCTAAGATTTTATTTTCTAGGACTTAATTTTTTGGTTTCATTATGATCTTATACGAGAACTTCCCCGGAGTAAAGTCCTGTTTAAGTAGAAACTGTATGGTAACAAAAGATGTTTATATGCAAAAAGGGGCTTTATATTAAAAACACCCCTGGCTATATTCAATATGCAGATGCATAGATGAAAAGTCCTTTTTATGAAAACG